TTGAAGCTCAAGAAATTAAATAACAGACTCTTTAATACCATCAAGAATTCATATGAATTTTTTCAAAGGATCCAGAACATGGGGTTGGTGCGGTCAGAACTGTTGGTGAATTTCGATGTACAATCCATGTACACAAACATCTCAGGTGAGAAGGCGATAAGCGCCTTGCTGGAGGTATTAAAGCGAGAAGAGGACAACCTGGAGGCAGAACGGATACAGAAAGAATCGTTAACACGACTGATCAACCTCACAGTAAGGACCACATATTTCACATTTAATGGCAGTATCTCTGAGCAACTATTTGGACTACCGATGGAATCTTCACTCTCATCTCTTTTGGCAAATGTGTACATGGACAAATTGGAAAGAGAATTCGAGAAATCACGACTGAAATCAAGAGTGTTTATACGATATTAGGATGACTACTTTGCACTTTGGTCACATGGTAAGGAAAATCTAAATGAATTCCTCAATTTTATTGACCAACTTGATGAAAAAAAATCAAGGTTATAACAAATGAGAAGAAAACACTTTTTACCAGTCTGGCGATGCAACACGAGAAGGCGGACAAACATGATTGCTCAGGAGAGTATCGCATCAAATGCGGCAACTGTGAGCAGAAATATATCGGTAAAACAGGAAGAAAAATCGGCCTACAAATCAAGGAACATCAAAGACTCTGCAGGAACATGGATACGGAAAGATCCAAAATAACGGAACACATTGCACAAACGGGGCACGAAATCGACTGGAAATCGCCCTGTTGTGGCAGATCTAATGTGGCCTCATCACACTTGCTATTCACCCCGACCCCCTATCTTTTGATCGGCTGATCCGACTCGGGCCAACAATCCGGATCCCCTCATTGTATCGTAGATCCGTTTCTTATCTTTCTGGTTGACCGATTTTACTCGGTTCCAGTCCCAGTGTGTTTCACTTCGGGCGCTATTTCTCAAGGCCATAAAAGCACTTACACTGCTGCTTTACCGAGCAGAGCGCCTAGGCTCTGATTCCCATATTTTAATCGAAGGTATGAAGACCAAGATGGTGTGGACATGATTCCCATGCTCGCATCCTCTTCACGGATCGTCTCCTTGATTGTGGACGCCTATCACTGGTCGCATGCATCATCTCAAGTGGATTTCTAGTACATTTTGGCCATAACACCGAATTTCTGTGAGTCTCTCACTGAAGATGCCAACTACGATGTCGGCGAAACGTTTGGGGAATGTACCTAGCTAATGGTCCAATGT